AGCCCCCATGCCTCCAGACCCTGCACCGCCGGAGCCCGGGAGGGGAAGTGCTCGGCAGGTGGCTGGGGTCCGGAGGCAAGGGGGCTGCCCGAAGCCGGTAGCGCTCGGGCAGCCCGGCTCTTAAACAGAGCCGAAGAGTCAGGGGAGGAGCAGAGCCGCCATTTTCCCGGACGTGTTCGGCTTTTTGGCAGTTCCCCCCGGACGGGGGTTTGAGTGCCGAAAAGCTGGACATGTCCGGGAAAAAGAGGACGTATGGTAACCCTACACATTGCCGTGTGCCTTGTCTAGACCAGATTTTTAATGTGTGTTACCATGCATTGGCTAATATGCTAACATCACACTTTAAAATCCTTGTTTAAAGAAGTTACAAGTTTTTCCCTCCACTATATCTAGCAATCCTGAGAATTCCAGTTGCTGGGTTTTGTGCAGGTTTTGTTTATTTCTAGGCTTACTCTTTTTATGTTCAGTAAAGCATAAGGGCTGTGGGTCTGGCAGCTCTCAACCCTTCACTTTTGTTTTCTAACCTTTTTTCTGAAGTTCAGTACTCACCATAGTTGACTGGATGGTCTGTTCTTTCCCCTGAATATGGGGGCAGAGGTTGAAATTTTTTAAATTTGTCTGCCTGAAGAGTTAATGGGGGGGGGGGGGGAAGATATCAGTCATGTTTTCTGCAGCTTCTCCCTTTCCCATCCTCCCCCACAAATCATTATTTTCTTTTCTATAGAACGTGCTGGTGGAGGTTTGACAACTGGTAGTTACAGCATGGCTTGGCTTAATCTCTCCACATTAGGACCCAGTGCTCCCTCCCTCTCCCTATTCCCATCTCTCATTTCCTTTCAAGAGGAAGTCATTTCATTGAGTCATCCTGAGTCTGGTGTGTTGACAACCTGAAACGTAATGCATCTGTTCTGAGAATTGCAACCTGACTTTGGCGTTGTCGCTAGGATTAGCACTAGTAGACACTGGTATGCTGACCTACATAGAGCCCTTTGTCTACGTAGCACTTTCTCTGTTAGTCAGGACAATTTTGAATAGCTGTTCTGTTTTTTTTCCTCTTCTCTCTTTCCCCTCTCCTGCTTCCCTTTTTTCCCAGGGAAAATATCCTGAAAACAGCAAAAGCTTTAGTTGAAGATACAAAATTGCTTGTGTCTGGGGCCGCCTCAAGTCAGGATAAACTAGCCCAAGCAGCTCAGTCATCGGCTACCACCATCACACAACTAGCAGAGGTGGTAAAACTGGGAGCAGCCAGCCTGGGATCAGATGACCCTGAAACACAGGTATGAGGGGCTGCGGGAGCAGAAAATAGACGAATGTTTTTAGTATTTAAAGACATGGAGAATATCACAGAAGGGAGAACTCTGGAGGTACAGTGTAATTTTTTTTTAAAGTTTCTATCAGTGGAACTGAGGCTTCCAAGTCAGTTAGGCACTTATGAAAATTTTACCCACAAATAGCACAAACCTTGCACTGCCTCTCTTGCATGATTTGCGGTTGAATCAGGCACCTCCCTCTTTGAAAAATAATACTGCAAAAATGGACAAGACTTGGTATAGGGTGTCAGATCCCTCCCCCACCAGTTTTAGAATGTTTTTTTGCAAGAATATTCTCCAATTCTTCGTTTTTAAATGGCTCATCATGGAGCTTCCCTTGGGAGACTATCCCATAATTTAATTGAATTCACTGCTAGAAAGCTTTTCATTGAGTTTAAGACCAAGCTAAACACCTGTTGTTGTTTGTATGGTGTGAACTGTATGCTAGAACTTCACAGATATGTCTGGATTATTTTACTCTCTTTTAAGTCATTTAATTCATCAAAGTAGATTCAATTAAACATTGAATCCTGGTGAAATGTGGGCTGCTGTGTGCACTGTAGATGTGTCTGTGTTAGTAAATTAATTTGAAAATGTCTGTTTGTTTGAGGCACTGGAAAAAATGTGTATCTCACTCTCCTCTTTGACCTCACATATGATCTTTGTTCCAGTGTCAACTTCCAGAGCATTCCTCTGTGGGAGAATATTTTCGAAACTGAAAATGTTTGCTTCAGCAGCAATTTTTTGATAACTTCATATTTCAAACTAGCAACACTGGGGAATTTTAAGTATTTATTACACTTCCTGGCTTTGTCTTCAAGTAAAGACTGACAATACTGGTTTGCCAGTAAAAACCACACAGCACTAGCAATTATTTATTTGTACCACTTGTATACGTGGTGTGATAATCCATAGTGGAGGGTGGAGGAAGAAGTTCAAATTATAGTTTTAAGTATAGTATGTGTCTGAAGGTACATACATTTTCAATACCTTCTGCACAAGGTACCAAGATACAAAATGTAACTTTTCCATATAAGTTAAAAGCTCATTTTACTCAGGCTGCTGAAGCCACAGAAGCATGAAGTGTGTGTGTGTGTGTGTCCGTGTCCATTGTTGTGTAACACAGACAGAGAGAGAAGTGAGCGCTGTACCAATCTACATTAGGGCTTAGGGTCTTGTCTTTTCCTCCTTGATAATCAAAGAGGTTCTGAGTTACCAAAGCTTGAGTAAGCTTTCACAAGAAAGTGAAGATTCTAACTTGGCCATAGATTGTAATAAACTGCAAACAGGCTGAACTGAGGCAGTGCTAAACTTTTTATTTCCTATCCATTACTGAGAAGTAATAGATCCACGTATCTTTTTTTTTTCCGGAGCTGTCCCATTTTCCAGGCATGTTATCACTTTGAAAAAGGGTAGAATTGTGCTGATATCACTAAACCAAAGTAAAAGGTTAAAGGTATCTGACCACATAGCAGATGGGGGAAAGGATTTTGGGGGAGAGAGTTATTCTGATGTTTCTTGGAAATAATTGTGCTCATGGGGAGGGGCATAAGACTTTATTTCCCTTGTACTTGGTTTGGGAGGCAATTTACTTGAATTTGACTGCTGCTGACTCTAACCTCAGGCAAGTCATTCATCATTTAGTTCCTTAGGGGCTCTTAGGAGACTAGGCTATATAAAACTTCCTTTTCCCTGAAATGGAGTGTTTCCCTTATGTCCAGGGCATACCAAGTACGTTTGATCTGCTTACGTCTGTCAGAATAGTAGCTGACGTCACAGTAAATGGGGTCATTCTCCAAGGGAGGATCAAGCTGTAAGTTCGTACCTAGTTTAACTGCTCCCATTCTATTCCCATGCCGAACAGAACACTGAGGTGAATAAGCCCCTCTTTGGGATACGATGGGAAAGAGAGAAATCCTGCTTTAGAGAACCATTTAATTGCAGGAGATAGTAGCTGAACTGGGTTCTGAACATTGTATAAAATACTGTACAGATAAACACAGCTTTAGCTTATGCAGGAAACTAGATGTTGTTTTTTAGCATTTGTGCATACAGTGTCTTTTTCTCTCTTAACACTTGCTCTGTGCTTAGCAGATCCCTTCAATGTACATCCTGCCCAAATCTTCCATCTCTGGGCTGAGGTGAGATGTGATTGCACTAACTTCACATCCAAATTTCTCATTCTTGTAGGTTGTACTGATCAATGCTATTAAGGATGTTGCTAAGGCCCTTTCTGATCTCATTGGTGCTACAAAAGGAGCTGCTAGCAAACCAGCAGATGATCCATCCATGTACCAGCTCAAAGGTGCAGCTAAGGTAGGTAGTGCGATATCTCTCCCTTTTAGAGAAGTTTAGAGCTTATCTCAGCTTCTGTTACGAAAGTTGAAAACATTCCTTTGCTTATTCCTTGCTGTTTGCTTTGATGTTTATTTAAAGAAATAGCTAGCATCACTTCGTTGCTAGAATTTTAAAGACTGGTGCCAGTGAATTCTGGTTCACTTCAGTCTCTCATTTTCCTTCTGTTTCATCTGTATCCTACTAACTTAAACTAGACGGTTTATGATTGGTGGAAAGCTGGATAGTATCGTTCATGTCAGTGCCCGTAAACATAATATCAGTTTTCTTAGTCATCTCACCACAGCTAGTTAAAGAGTTGTATTCCTTCTGACAGGCACCTCTGTCACTCTGCAAGCAGATGTGTCTGGAGGGAGGAGGGAGGTTCCTGGTATATTCGGGCTACGAGACTAAAAGTTTACCCTATAAAAATGTGTACTTGAATCCTATAGCAAGGATAATGAACAAGTAATGAGAAGTCCACAGTATAAGCATCCAGCTGCTAAGATCCTGACTTGGACCTTTCAACTTTTAGAAAGTGGTCTGAAGATCTCAGACAGGCTTTCTATAAAATGTAGTGTACTTTGATTGCATTTCTCCCAGGCCATGCGTCTAAACGGAAGTGTCTATTGGTCAGAGCACAGGATTTGGACAGCTTCTGCCACTGTTTTATTGTGTCACCTCTCTGTGCTTCAGTTTTCCCACATCTGAGATTTTTGTGAAATTTGCATCACAGGGCTCTTGGGGCTTAATGTTTGTAAAGTGCTTTGAGATGTTGAAATTTGAGCAGTATTGGATCTGCTTCCAGATGATCGGGTAATCAAAGTGACTTTTACGCATTTGCTTGGCAAAGAGATTTTGCCCTTTCCCATCAAATGTGGACCTGCAGTGATCGATGCCTCAGATTGGATTACTGCAATGCGCTCTGCGAGGGGGCACTCATCAAAGACCATGCAAAGTTCAGCTACTACAGAACAGTGTCTGCTTGCTTAGCTGGTTCCCTTTGCTTTACAGAGCTCAATGTGATTTGAGTCCTGGTTATCTGAAAGCTTACCTTCCTCCTTGTGTTCCATCTGAAGATCTGAGATGGGCTTAAGTGCTGTCCTAAGAGCATTTGTACATCTACAGGCTGGAGGGAAGATGTGCCCTTAACTTTGGAACTTGCTTATTCTGTATGTTGGAACCAGTGTTTGACCATCAGGGCATAAGGCAAGGCTAGCTACAGTATTGACTCAGCCTTTTGCCTGAGGGGGAAGTCGTTAAATCAAGGTTTGGGTTGATTTCCTGAAAGATGGTTGACTTCTTTTCAATTGATGATGGCAGTTGTGTGTTTAATTGTAGTTTTACAAACTGTGCCAAGAGAACGTAATAGTGGCATTTCATGAATTAGTAAATAACGTGCCTGGTCTCTGACAAGATTTTTTGAGGTTATAGTTTTGCATGTGTGCAGTAATGGAGGCAAAGGAGAGGGTACTAGTTTCTATATGTTAGAAACCTGTTGACTTTTAATCTTTCTGTAGGCAATTCATACCAGATGTGGAGAAGGGATTCTGTTAACTTGAAATTGTATGATAGGTGATGTTATAGCATAAGTACTGTTAATCAAAATTGTATGATGAGGTATGTTATTGCATAAAGACATGCCAAGGAGTGCCCAGAGACACAGATCCTAGGACTTCTGGAGAGGCGTTCCACCCAGACTGCCTGTTTGGAACTTTGGGGGTTTGAATCTGACAAGTGGTCACTTGGGTCCTGAGAAGAGAGAGAACAGGATCCTGGGGGGGTTGTGAACTAGACACGGGTCAGGAATGGAAGCACTGCCAGGCCCTTGTAAGATCATGCTTTCCCTGTGGGAGCACAAAATAGAAGGGTACTGAGTGCTATTGGGACATTTGTTTTGTTTATTTTGGTTAAGTGAAGTTTTGTGGTCTTTCAAACCCAGAAATCAGAGGCATAGTCAATCGGTCAGTTTGCAAGAGATCTGCAGGGCCCTCGAAATAGTTAGGAAAAGGAACCAGGTTCACCTGATACTCACAGGCAAGTGTCCTCAGAGGAAGCTTAGAGAGGTAAAAGGGCTAAAACCCAGAGACACTGGTGTTGAAAAAGGTTTGTGCCCAGGCATGGGCGAGTTGTGACACCATGCACTCAAGTTTAGGAAAGCACCACTATTCAGTGAATCTGGGTGTAACAATCTAACTTCAATAGGGATCACTCATAAATAAAAGCCTGTCTGTAGAGTTCACTCTCAGCTGTTTAACCCATACTGTAATTAAAGCTTGTTGTTCCCTACAAGGATTAATAGTGGCTTCATAGCTTGATGTTCCTTGAATCATGTTGGGGTGTCTCCTAAATGTGGGAGAAGGGAATGATGTATTTTCATCTCTCCCTCTCTCCATTTCAGGTGATGGTAACCAATGTCACATCACTTCTGAAGACTGTTAAAGCAGTAGAAGATGAAGCTACTCGAGGCACAAGAGCTCTCGAGGCCACGATTGAGTGCATCAAACAGGAACTCACGGTAAAGAATGGAATAATTGCACATGGCAGCTTTCTAAAGTACACTCTTAAAATCAAATCAGGCTTCACTGGAGGTGCCTCCAGGGATGTTTTGGCTGCTTTGTTGTGAATTAGAGGCGATATGGTCCCTACCCACAGCTCTCAACACACGATTGCATGTCACTTCAACCTATCCACTTCCACATGTCACCAGTCTCCCCTGTTAGGCTGTATTTCTCAGGTGTGAGATGCTACTGTCATGAAATATGCTTGGAGAAACTGCTTCTTCATTCCTCCAGACATGAAACTTTCACTGTAAATGTTATTTTCTGAGTCAAATGTTCACCTTTCATTGACCTTGGTTTGTAAACGTTTCTCCAGTGTCAAAGAGCAGCACTGTTGGCACTTGCAGTTTGAAACACATCTCCATTTTTTCCTTTTTTCATAAAGCCACATTACCAGGATAAATAACCTGATAACTGATATTTCATCTGAGCAGAAATTACATGTAGCACCGAATTAGATCTTAAACCAAGAGGGTTATTTCCTCCCCCCTTCACAGTACAGTTTTCTGACCCCCTCTCCCCCCAGCTGCTGCTTCAGATGATCCTTTTGTAAACCACTGGTGAGTGATGTAAATTAATACCTTTGTATGTTTGAGGAGGCTAAAATATCATACCTTGCTTAGTAAAATAACCACTGCACATATGGAGAGAGACTGTACTGGAGAATACTGTGTTATGTAATTTGTGGACTTAGTGTTCAGTAGTGCTATTGACACAACCTTGTCTTCTTGAACATTCCCATTGTGGCAGTCCCTAAGAGCTCCCTCTGTTCTGGCTTGTTTTTCACTCAACATAAGAACGGCCATACTAGGTCAGACCAGTTGTTCATCTAGCCCAGTATCCTGTCTTCCAAGAGTGGCCAATGCCAGATGCTTCAGAGGGAATGAAACAACAGAGAAATTATTGAGTGATCCATTCCTTGTCATCCACTCCCAGTTAAAAATTCTGGCAGTTAAAAATTTTCCTATATCCAGAGCATGGGGTTGTCCAGAGCATGGGGTTGTCCCTTGGTAATGAGTTCCACAGGTTGACTGTGCATTGTGTGAAGTAGTACTTCCTTTTGCTTGTTTTAAACCTGCTGCCTATTAATTTCATGGGTGACCCCTGGTTCTTGTGTTATGTGAAGGGGTAAATACCACTGCCTTATTCACTTTCTCCACATGATTTATGATTTTATAGACTTCTATTCTAATATAACATTTTTGAGGTGGTGTGACCGGAACTGTGGACATAGCATGGATTTATATTATGATATTTTCTGTGTTATTATCTATCCCTTTCCTAATGGTTCCTAACATTCTGTTAGCTTTTTTGACAGCTGCTGCACATTGAGTGGATTTTTTCAGAGAGCTGTCCACAGTGACTCCAAGATCTTTTTCTTGAGTGATAACAGCTAATTTAGACCCCCATAATTTTGCATGTTTTAGTTGGAATTATGTTTTCCAGTGTGCATTACTTTGCATTTATCAACATTGAATTTCATCTCCCATTTTGTTGCCCGGTCACCCAGTTTTGTGAGATCCCTTTGTAACTCTTCGTCGTCTGCTTTGGACTTAACTATCTTAAATAATTTTGTTCATCAGCAGATTTTTCCACCTCACTGTTTACCCCTTTTTCCAGCTCATTTATGGACATGTTGAACAGCACTGATCCCAGTACAGACCCCTAGGGGACACCACTGTTTACCTCTTTCCTTTCTGAAAACTGACCATTTATTGCTACCCTTTGTTTCTTGTGTTTAACCAGTTACTGATCCAGGAGAGGACCTTCCCTCTTACCCCATGACTGCTTACTTTCCTTAAGAGCCTTTGATGTTCTGAAAGTCTAAGTACACTATATCCACTGGATCACCCTTGTCCCCATGTTTATTGACCTCCTCGAGAATTATAATAGATTGATGAGGCACGATTTCCCTTTACAAAAGCCATGTTGACTCTTCCCCAACAAATTGTGTTCCTTTACTTGTCTGGTAATTCTTTTCTTTACTATAGTTTCAACCAATTTGCCTGGTACTGAAGTTAGGCTTGCCGGCCTGTAATTGCCAGGATCGCCTCTGGAATCGTCTTTTAAAAATTGGAGTCACATTAGCTATCCTCCTGTCATCTGGTACTTAAGCTGATTTAGGTGATAGGTTACGTACCACAATTTCATATTTGAGTTCCTTCAGAACTCTTGGGTGAATACCATTTGGTCCTGATGACTTATTACTGTTTAATTTATCAATTTGTTCCAAAACCTCCTCTATTGAAAACCTCAGTCTGGGACAGCTCCTCAGGTTTGTCACCTAAAAAGAATGGCTCAGGTGTAGAAATCTCCCTCACATGCTCTGCAGTGAAGACCAATGCAAAGAAGTCATTTAGCTTCTCCGGCGTGGCCTTGTCTTCCTCAAGTGCTCCAATTGATTTTTTGGCCGGCTTCCTCCTTTTGATGTATTTAATTTTTTACTTTATTTTATTATTTTATTTTGCTGTTAGTTTTTGTCTCCTTTGCTCGTTGCTCTTCAAATTCTTTTTTGGCCTGCTTAATTATACTTTCACACTTGACTTGCCAGATTTTATGTTCCTTTCTATTTTCCTCAGTAAGATTTTTAAAGGATGCCTTTTTGCCTCTAACCGATTTTTCTACTCTGTTGTTTAACCCTGGTGGCACTTTTTTTGGTCCTCTTACTATGTATTTTTTTTTTAATTGGGGTATACATTTAATTTGAGCCTCTATTGTGGTATTTTTAAAAAGTTTCTACAGCTTGCAGGTATTTCAGTCTTGTGACTGCACCTTTTAATTTCTGTTTAACTAGCTTCCTTATTTTTGTGTGAAAAATGCAGATACTGACAAAGGAAGAATAATTACAGAATATATATATATTTTTTTTTAATTAAATCCCCACATAAGCTGTGGCACAGTAAATGAACCGTCAACATCCTTTGGATAAACTCTGCAATCTAAAACGTTCCAGATACTTAGTCTGTCAAGGAATTGTACTTTATCGTGTCAAGCAGAAATCATGTGGTGATTTCTTTTGAATACTTCTAATGTATTATTATACCCATGAGTCAATTGTTTTGTTTGATTGCTTGGGGCAGTCTCAGGAGTGTCTATATATTTATTAAAAATAAGATTAAATCCTGACCCCAATGAAGTCAATGGAGAAACTTCATCCAGGATTTTACCTAGTATGGGAATATTGTATATACGTGTGCACTGCTTTAAGTGGCTTGATACAGGTTGAATTTGAGTACTGTTAAGAGATGTCTTTGTAACAGTTGGCATGGGCTTGTTCCTCAGTTTCTCCCCCACACTAAGAGGGGGCGGAGGGGTGAAAGCCAAATAATGATAACCTGGATAAATGGGAGTGGCCCTTCCTAATGTATGTTCAGGCATTAGATACTACAGCAATGGGCACACTAGAAAACCCTAATAAGGAATAGATAATGCTGTCAGAGCAGCATTGCATAATGGTTGTGACTGGTAAAATTTGTCCAATTACTCCTGGGGGAATTCTGCACATGTGCAGGTTTCTTTGCTTCTCCGCAGAAAAATGACTTTCTGACCTGGAAGCAAAGGGAAGCTGCAAGAGCGGTCATGCACCGCTCCCCAGCAGCGTGTGTGCATTGTTTCGGGCACCCAGAGCAGCCAGCAGAGTGGTAAATCCCTACACTAAGCTTCTCCATACTTGGATACTGCTGGGCTGAGTCTGCCTGCCTACATCTAGTGTGCTTGGCACAGAGGGGCAGGGCCCGGGGTGTTTCTGGGACAGTCCTGGTCCTTACACTATGTCAGGGTCAGGGTCGGGTGCAACTTTACTGCTGAGTCCATCTCCGGGGGAGGGGAGGTGCAGGGTGATCTACCTCTGTGCAGTCAGTGGCCTGTGCTTCCCACTGCCATGCTGGAGCTTCCACATTTATTTATTGACAAATAAAATTTGCAGAATTTTAAAATATTGTGTGTAGAATTTTAAATTTTTTGGCACAGAATTTTAATTTTTTTGGTACAGAATACCCTCAGGAGTAACCCAGTACAGTACCTGGGATATTCTATAACGCTTAAGAATGGCAAGCTGATAAGGAATACAGCTGGAAAAAGGAGGCAAGTAGGAGCCAGGATAAGCTCTAACTGACTTACGTTAGCTATAATGTTTTAATACAGTTAATTACTTTCAACATTCATAGGAATGAGGTGTGGGGGTCAGGTAATTCAATGTCTTCCTCTTGATACAAGTTCCTCTACACAATTATATAGTTAGGTTTGTAACGGAGAATTAAGCATAGAAAAGAGACAGTGCTTCATTTTCTCTGTCCTTCCCCCTTTCGTCCTTTACAGAAAAGATTTTTGAGCATTTTATTAATATATCCAGTTCAGTCCTTCTATGCTGCTTCTGGCTGAGGGGGCAGCTGGTGTGGGCTCTAGTGGCGCAATGGGTTAGCACACAGTACTTACAGAGCAGTGCTGCATGGAGTGATTTTGGGGGAGGGATAGCTCAGTGGTTTGAGCCTGCTAAACCCAGGGTTGTGAGTTTAATCTTTGAGGGGGCCATTTAGGAATCTGGGGCAAAAATCTGTCTGGGGATTGGTCCTGCTTTGAGCAGGGGGTTGGACTAGATGACCTCCTGAGGTCCCTTCCAACCCTGATATTCTATGATTCTATGACACATTAGAGCAGGGGTAGCCAACCTGTGGCTCCAGAGCCACATGCATCTCTTCAGAAGTTACTATGCGGCTCCTTGTATAGGCACCGACTCCGGGGCTGGAGCATCAGGTGCCAACTTCCCAGTGTGCCAGGGGGGTGCTCGCTGCTCAACCCCTGGCTCTGCCACAGACCCTTCTTGTCCCCTTCCCTGAGCCTGCCATGCCCTCACTCCTACCCCTCCTCCCCAGAGCCTCCTGTATGCCTCGACACAGCTGATCAGGAGGTGTGGAGAGGGAGTGAGAGGTGCTGATCGGTGGGGCTGACGGTGGGCGGGAGGTGCTGGGAGCGGGGGGGAGATAATGGGGGGCTGCTGATGTATTACTGTGGCTCTTTGGCAATGTCCATTGGTGGCTCCTGGCTCCTTCTCGGGCTCAGGTTGGCCACCCCTGCATTAGAGCATGGCGTATATGGGAGGAGGATCTGCATGCCTGTCCAATAGTCAGGATGGAAGAATATATGGATAGGACTAGTAGCTATTGGTTTCTGGCTATCCTATAATACAGATAGTTTAAATGACAAATGTTGGGTGTCATCCATTTCAATGAATGGGTTAACTTTTTGTGCATACTTCCCACAGCTTAGTGTTTCTCTCTGCTCTGTGTAGATGTGCAAGTCTTATCAGAGCCAGACTCCTGACAAGCAGGAGTGATATTGCAGTACAGTACTCCAATTAAATTTCTGATTTCATGCCATTTGAAGGCTGCTTCCAATTGCCGTGTCCGTTTGAAGCTCCGTGTTATTGTGCTCTGACTCTTAAAGGGCAACTAGATCTCCTTTCTGCTTTAACTTCTAGGTATTTCAGTCGAAGGAGATTCCAGAAAAGACATCATCACCTGAAGAATCGATCCGGATGACGAAAGGAATCACCATGGCAACTGCCAAAGCTGTTGCAGCTGGGAACTCATGCAGACAGGAGGATGTGATTGCTACAGCGAATCTGAGCCGCAAAGCAGTAGCTGATATGCTAACAGCTTGTAAGGTAAAGATTAATTTCCTCTCCTAATTTTTTAGGTTTCTATATCCTTAAATTTAGTTTGTGTTTGTCTTTATCTGAGAAGTTAATGATTGTGAGAATTATGAAGTCTGACTAACATCCAATACCAGAAAGAGGGGATTTCTATCCTATGTAAGAGAAATGTGGATTAATACACACTGGTTTATTTTTGGAGAGAGAGAATAGTTTTTTTTGATTGACACGAAACCTGCTTGAGTTTTTGTTTCTTTTAAACTACAAGACAGACTCTGTACAAACAGTAGAGCATAAAAATAATGTAATGGTGACCTGATTTTAATATAGTTAGGAGTTCTCTAATGGAAAAAATGTACAAATGTATTGTCAATATTCCTTTGCTTTCTAAACAAACTAATTGGTCTGCTGAATTCCTACTGTGCTTTTAAAGAGTGTATGCCTTTTGTCTTGTACTAAATGCAATGCTCCTGTGAGCTGAACTTTTGGAATATTATATTTGAGACAGACAACTTTAAAGAAATAGGACTGTAAAATGTTTGCATGCATAGTTCAGGTAGTAATGCAAAATATACTCATGACCCACTTCTCTTCATGCTGAGGTAGGGCGGGATTATTCGTAATTAACAGGGGCAGGACCAGAAAGGGATTTTACAAAGTTTATTCTTTGAAGTTTGAGCATTGAAATTAAGTGAAATTAAGACAACTCTTATTCCTAATCATCATTTAGGCATCTTTGCTCTTCAAGGTACAAATGACTATGAGAGAAGAATTAAAGCTTGGGCAGTTTGGCAGGTGTGGAGTTCAAAATTTAGTTAAATCTTTCCCTGCGTAGGTCCCCAGATCACGTTTTAGCTCCATTATGACTGGATGTAAGGCTAGGACAGGGTTTAATTTTGTTTTTAAAATAATGATTCTGCACTTAAGCATGATGCAGTGTGATTTTGAACATGATTTCTGTACATATTGTGAATTGAAATCCTTACGTCATTTTGACCTTGATGGTTCTTGTATGTATTTAGCAGAGTACATCTGTTCCTGAACACTTTGCTTGCTTCAAGCTTTGATCTCATCTCCCTCCTCCCCCGCCCCCTGCTAAACACAGATACTGGAAAGTATAGCTATAGTTTACATTGGAAGCCAGAAGTCACCACATCTTGTATCATCCAGTCTCGTATCATGCCTCTGTCAAAGTCCAGTACATGATGCTTCAAGGGAAGGTGAAAGCACTCTTGTGTGCAGTTGTGCAATGGTATAGGATCAATTAACACTCTGAAGCATATTCGTTAAATATCCTTTGTAACTTTATATCCTGGCTAGTGTAGGAGCATATTCATATGGAGATCTATCTGCATTTCACTCTGCAGATTCTCTGGATTACAGTTTTTCCTATTTAAATTATATTTTCAGCCTAATATTCTGCATTTTAGTTGTATGTTTTTGTATACTTTCAAATTAATTGTTTCCTCTTGTTTTCACATTCACTCCTCTTATCGCTATAATTTAATTTGGTGCCTCTCCTGCTCTGGTTCATAGATGGTCAGAGGTCTGCAGAATAATCCATTTAGAGTCCAAGCAGTGGGGACTGGGATGTTGATAAGGGGCTGAGTATCCATGAGAGAATTGCCTTTACAAAGCAATCTAAAGAATGAAAACAGTTGAGAACAATTTTACTTATCTAAAATGACAGATTGAAAAGCAGTCTACCTGAGAGCTTGTTGGGTATGGTAGTCATTCTTTGGGCTAGGGCCTACCAGGTTAACATGGTAGTAGTGGTAAATTGTTACCACTTGAGTAGCAAGTACTGATCCTTGAAGTCACCATTGTTATTGCTTGCAGATGACATTAATAATCTCTAGCTTGAAAGTCGGCTATGTGCCACAGAGCACCACCTTGAAAGCAGCAGAGTAGGAATAACAGCTGGAAGGCAGCCTGAAGCTAAAACCAGAAATCGTATGGTTCAGAACAGTGAGGATAAAAGCTTGCCCTCTACTTAGCCCAGTGGATTTGGTTTTGGCCTTCTTATGTCCTTGGAGCTGGAAAGGATTATTAGGCAAGGAGAAACAAGTCTGAAAACACTGCAGAGAGGTGGAAAGTCTAGAAGACTAATCATAGGCATTATTTAAAACATGTGACCCAAAATTTGTCAAAACAGCTGTCAGTCTTAAGTGTGACAAGGTTGGTGAGGTAATATCTTCTAATGGATAGTCAAGGACCACTCTATCTTGAATGGTCCCTTTGAATATGCGCTAACTACTTATGCTAAACAATCTATTCCACCTTTCATTTAGCTGTGACTCTGGGAGTATCTTTCCCAGACATAAAGAAGAACCCTGTGTGGCTTGAAAGCTTCTCTTGTTCATGGCTACAACTATGCTGCACAGTCTTAAGTTTGTTAAATAATTTAATTATGTGTACCACATCCCCTTAGCCAGAGCTATATCAATTAATGTTAGACAGCAATTTAAAATGTCTGGTGGAGAAGCTAGTACTTCTATTTTTGGCACGTATGCTACTGTGTTTTTATCCACTCATATACTTACTTTGGTAATAGATGGAATCAAGCTGTATGAAGGAGTATCAGATCTCTTGCAGAAAGTCTTCTTATCTCTTTTTCAACATATGAATGGCGCAGACCAAAGGTCCATCTAGCCCAGTATCCTGTCTTCTGACAGTGGCCAATGCCAGGTGCCCCAGAGGGAATGAACAGAATAGGTAATCATCAAGTGATTCATCCCCTGTCACCCAGTCCCACCTTCTGGCAAACAGAGGCTAGGGACACCATCCCTGCCCTTTGTGACTAATAGCCATTCATGGAGCTATCCTCCATGAATTTATCTAGTTCTTTTTTGAACCTTGTTATAGTCTTGGCCTTCCCAGCATCCTCTGGCAAGGAGTTCCACAGGTTGACTGTGCGTTGTGTGAAAAAATACTTTATTTTGTTTGTTTTAAACCTGCTGCCTACTAATTTCATTTGGTGACCCCTAGTTCTTGTGTTATGAGAAGGAGTAAATAACACTTCCTTATTTACTTTCTCCACACCAGTCATGATTTTATAGACTCTATCATATCCGTCCTTAGTCATTCCTTTTCCAAGCTGAACTGTCCCAGTCTTATTAATCACTCCTCATATGGAAGCCATTCCATACTCCTAATCATTGTTGTTGCCCTTTTCTGAACTTTTTCCAATTCCAATAGATCTTTGAGATGGGGCGACCACATCTGCACGCAGTATTCAAGATGTGGGTGTACCATGGATTTATATAGAGGCAATATGATATTTTCTGGGGTATTAAAAAAATTCCACGATAAATCTGAATAGCCACTTCTTTTGTACTTTAAGATGGTGAATAGGGAGCACCTGACTTTCTTTGTTATACCATCAAGGCAGCATGACAACTGCAAAACTTGAACTTTTTGTGATATTTGGCAAAATAGGAGTTTCTCATCAAATACGCAGCAAATCAATCTTCTGAATATTTTGATAGGACTAATATTGTCAAATAATAAGCAAATAATGACACACATTATGGGTTAGATGTACCACTAAATGGAATGAAACCCACTAAAATGCACATGTGTGAACAAAATATAGCATGAATTGTTATATACAGTACACTTTGTGTTTCTCTAATGTCAAGAATATAAATGTACATTAAATTTCACTGCAACTTCCCTGAAGCAGAGGGGTTCAGCTCTGGGATATTTAAACAAGTCTACAGTAATTGTGCAATATGTAAATAATACACTGACCACTGGGGTTCTGTGGCCTGCAACGTGCAGAAGGTCAGACTAGATCATGATGGTCCATTGTGGCATTAAAGTCTGTGAGTCTGTAAGTGAGCATTTGTCAATAGTTACCATTTGGAAAAAAAAATATTGGTTACAGTTCAATCTCAGGAACTGATCCTATGGGTCCTATTAAACTTGATGGAGACACTTAACCAAAAGTACTCAAGATTGGATCAGACCCGAAGATAAAAACAGATTTCATCTTTATACCATGTGTGTAAAGTAATAACTCTGCATGGGAAATATTGATTTTTTTTATTTTATTACTGGTGACTCTTGTAGCAAAATTAGAAGGATATGAGAACTATCTAGGGCAAAGAGATGGTATTAGTTATATAGTTGCAGTTAAAGATTGCACATCGTTTATCATATGAGGGGTATGTCAGTGCTTACAATGTTAGCATTGTACACATACTGCTAACCCATAATGCTAGAAGCACTTGAAGAGAGAATGAGGCATGATAGCAAAGAGGAACTGAGTGCGAAGAGGACAGGTACAATAGAAGTATCAAAAACCGGAGAGAAAAGAGATGAAAGAGCAGAGATGGGCTTGTGGACTGGCAAGCAAGATGCTGGCCAGGATCTTGGGTTCAGTTGGCAGATTCAAAGCAGAATTTCTGTATCACCTTGAGAAAGTCCATATTTCTGTGCTACAGTTCCCACCTGCACAACAAGGATAATAATGATCCTTTCTCCCATCCATTGTCTTGTTTGTGGACTGTGGTCTCAATCTCACTTGGGAAACCCTAGACACTTCTGTGATATAAAAATAATTAATAATAATGAAACACAGTGTGTCTTGAGAACATGCGTTGCCAATTGCAGCAGGGAAAACTGGAAGTAGAAATTCACAGGAGCAATAGAATCATAGAATATCAGGGTTGGAAGGGACCTCAGGAGGTCATCTAGTCCAACCCCCTGCTCAAAGCAGGACCA